TCCCCCTCAGTCCCTGTCCCCGCTCTGTCCCCTCAGGGACCCCGCGCCCTCCCCCCCGCTCTGTCCCCAAAGCCGCCACCCCCTCCCTGTCCCCAGAGTGTCCCCAAAGCCGCCCCCCCCTCCCTGTCCCTGTCCCCTCCCTCGCCGTCCCCCTCCTCACCCTGCCCCAGTGTCCCCTCACTCTGTCCCCATGTCCCCGCGCTGCGCTGGTGGCGCTCACCCTGTCCAGTCCCGTGTCCCCCTGGCTGTCCCCTCAATGTCCCCTCCGTGTCCCCCTGAGCTGTCCCTGTGTCCCCTCAGTGTCCCCTGGCTGTCCCCTCAGTGTCCCCTCTGTGTGCCCTCCGTGCCCCCTGTCCCCACGCGCCGTGTTCTCGATGTCACAGGAGCACCGTGTCCCCCTGAGCTGTCCCCGTGTCCCCTCAGTGTCCCCTGGCTGTCCCCTCAGTGTCCCCTGAGTGTCCCCTGCGTGTCCCCAGGCGCCATGTCCTCGACGTCACAGAAGCACCGGGACTTCGTGGCGGAGCCGATGGGGGAGAAGCCGGTGGGGACCTTGGCCGGGATCGGGGACGTGCTGGGCAGGAAACTGGAGGAGAAGGGCTTCGACAAGGTGGGGCTGGGGACACTGGGGACACTGGGGACACCTGGGGACAGCTGGGACACCTGGGGACATCAGCGACATTGGGGACATCGGCGACATTGGGGACGTGCTGGGCAGGAAGCTGGAGGAGAAGGGCTTCGACAAGGGGGGGCTGGGGATGTTGGGGACACCTGGGACAGTGGGTGACACCTGGGACACCTGGGGACAGCAGGGGAACCTGGGGACATTGGGGACACTTTGAGACACCTGGGGACAGCAGGGACACCTGAGGGCATTGGGGACACTTTGGGACAGCTGAGGAAGGCGTTGGGGACAGCCCTGGGGACAGCCAGGGGTGCTGTGGGGACAAGGGGAGGGGACACAGGGGGACACAAGGAGTGAGGGGGGTGTGGGGACACTGGGGAGGGTGTCAGTGTCACCAGGGGGGTGTGGGGACACTGGGGAGGGCGTCAGTGTCACCAGGGGGGTGTGGGAACACTGGGGAGGGTGTCAGTGTCCCCGGGTGATGTCCCCATGGCCCTGGTGACACTGCTGTCCCCTGGATGTCCCCTCCAGGTGTTTGTGGAAGGACAGGGATCTCTTGGGGCCGCAGGGCTGGGGCGGGACCGGAGCTCTTTGGGGTCACTCAGGAGGGACACAGGGACACCGGGTGATGTCCCCACGCCCTGGTGACACCGCTGTCACCCCCCTGTCCCCTCCCTGTCCCCTCCAGCCATTCCTGGTGCTGGGACAGCTCTGGGATCCCTTGTGGCCACAGGGCTGGGGTGGCCCCAGAGCTCCTTGGGGTCACTCAGGAGGGACAGGGGGACCCTGAGCAGTGTCCCCACGCCCTGGTGACACCGCTGTCACCCCCCTGTCCCCTCCCTGTCCCCCCTGGCAGGCGTACGTGGTGCTGGGGCAGCTCTGGGATCTCTTGTAGCCGCAGGGCTGGGATGGGCCCAGAACTCCTTGTGGTCACTCAGAAAGGACACAGGGACACTGGGTGATGTCCCCATGCCCTGGTGACACTGCTGTCCCCTGGCTGTCCCCTCCAGCCATTCCTGCTGCTGGGACAGCTCTGGGATCCCTTGGGGCCACAGGGCTGGGGTGGGCCCAGAGCTGCTTGGGGGCCACCCCAGGGACCCCAAAATTTCCTGACCCCCTCCCCAACCCATCCCCCCCATACCCATGGGACCCCCAAACCGGTGCTGCCACCCACAAAACTCATCCCGGGGGGGTCCCGTGGTGCCACCCCTTCCCCATCACCCCAAAACCAGCTGGGGGTGGGGGGGGGGG